CGATCGGTATATGCACTGTTATAGTCTTCGAAACTTGTAGGTTATCGACGGTCATTTTTGTAAATTAAATTGATAAACTTAGAGCCGGGCATTACCTCAAGTCCTACGTGTCGTTGAACTTGAAACACCACGAGGACGCCTACTTAAATACTTGCCACACAAACCTGTATGATGTCTAGATTTCGAATGTTTAACACGTTTACCGCGGAGCCTATTGCGGCTAACTTTGCATTCACGCCGACAATACTATGTTACATACATTTGAATCTGTATTACATATTGGTTACCGGTGATCGACACGGCGTGAATGAAATGTTCTGATTAAAAAAATTCAATAACTTTGAATATTTGAAAAGTACCAATTGACATTCACATGACGCTAATGTAGCGGCTAATTAATGATTTTCTTAAAACCCATTCAAGTTGCCTGTTTTGTAATATCTTTTTTACGAACGCTAAAATAATATTAACTAACTAATTATATAAAGTTTATATCATTTTGGTGAACCCTTATGTCAATACTCAGAATGTACGAATTTGTTCTCTACCCAGGTGCGCATCTAGTGAATTCCTTGAATATCTTTTTTATATTATGGTTAAATCGGTTCCTCGGCATCTCATTCGACAGCTACAAGCCAGAAGTCGGAATGGAAGACCTTTCCGAGCTATATAGCTCATTCTAATTTGTAGAAAATTAGCCTGCAGTAGTGTGTGTATGAGGCTGCAACGAACTGCAGTTGCCCGAAATTTGAGATTGGACAAAAAGTGGGGGCCCTAACGTAGCTGCACCTATTGTACAGGGTGTCCCAAAAATGTCCTCCGACCCGGAAATGGGGCACTCGGGGGGTGAATTGGAACGACTTGTATGTATAACTGTACGTATAACTTCAGAAGAAGAAAACGAATTGCACTGGCACAGTATAGTTTGATCGGTCTGAAATTAATCATCGTATGTGCATACGTTGAGATACAGTTGAGACACTTTGAACGGTGACAGTAGCGCGCATCATAAACGAGACGTTCGTTTTGTTTGTGCTGTGAACATCGTATGCGACATAAATTAGAAAGTTAACTGTGAAAATAATGGAAGAATTAAGACAAGCGAATTTTACTAGGTAAGATAAAGTAAACATTGTTATACGTAATTTTGTCAATACAATTACTTTCGACAGTATGTGATTTGCAAGGTTTGTACTATGTATTTGTTTTACAGATTGAGTGCAGAGGAAAAGGATCAGTACCCGAATGATTTCACAGGTGAGTCGAATGCAGAGAGTTTCCAGCTGTCAGATAGCGATGATGAGGATTGGTTTCCTAAAAAAATCCACCCCAAGTCGTACAAAATACCGACAACGAAGAATACGACGACGACGAAACTGGTAAGCTTTAATTTAATTTTTATATTTATAAACTAATCACAGTTTTATTTTTTATGTTATAATAATGTGAGCACTTATTATAATAACCTAGAGCACTTTTGTCGCAAAGTACAAAACGACGTGGAAAAAACAGCCTCGCCTCAACACCAAGTTGCAACTCGCAATGTTTTTCAAGGAGCTGGCCAAAAAATAAGCACCAAAACTCTTTCGCTGCGGGACACTGAAACAAAAATCATTTCGAATAAAATGATAAACGTTAAGTACTGTTCGTTGTACCAACAGAAAAACATCGAAAGTTTATCAAGAGTACAAGAGAAACCCGAAACGACCGCTGTTCGTTTGGCAATATTTGACACTTCGAGAAATGTTTTTATAGGTACGTGCCATGTGTGTTACAAACAGGCAATAAAGATACGTAGAAAAATAAAAACATTCTGTACAGAATGCGAGAAACCTGTTCGCGACGAGCACGCAGTTCCGTAACAATATGTAAAGAATGCGCATAAATATAGTATTTCGACATTTTTTAATGATAGTTATTTACTTTTGCGATTACTCACCGACTTTGACGACCTTGAAATATGTTGTCAAGATCGTCATTTTGAATAACTTTTTCTTAGACATATTGCCGCCGTTCGGCTTTGGTTTTTGAGATATTCGCAACAATATATTCGCTAATATATGTGGTGTGGTAAATATATTGTTCGAGAGATTGACCTCCCATGACCTTTACCTTGACATATGTTGTCAAGGTCACGCTCCTGAGTGACCAGAAAGTTTCAGTCATCAAATGTTGTTTATTAAAAAGTTATTAAGAGAACATGTATAGGAAAATTTATTTGGAATGACGACCTTGACAATACATTTCAAGTTCATTAAAATCGGTAAGGAATCGCTAAAGTAAATAATTACCACACAACTGATTCAGAATCACTTGTTAAAGAGGCTAATACTTTTCAAGTCTACTCTATCTAGTACATAATATAATATTTTCCAAGAAGAAAATAATGACAGATGTGAGTTCAAAATGTATTAAATAAGTTTAGTAGCGTTTATATTTTACAGAGAATTATATCTATGTACAAAGGTGTTATGATGTTGCATAATTTCTATTGACTTTTTATACGTTGTTTCCTTTTTATAACATACGTTATTTATAGTCGTTAGATTTGTCATGATTCATTCGCATAAAAAGTATTTAAATAGCGATGTAAGTTTCATTTTTAAAAAACAAAAGATAACATGCATATCTTCGAAAAAGGATGCAGATAAAGAAACTCCGATTTATGAATATTATGCACAGTTAAGGGGGTATTCTAGTCATTTTCTCATATTCTAACATTTGTGTGCTTACTTCTATTATTTACAGCGCCGTTTTGTTAATTAATTGTATTGCACTTTTATTATTCTATCATTAAACGTACTTCTAATTCAGTCTCAGTTAAATCTTTTATCAAATACCTTAAATAATAATATGTAATTCTTTGGTACCCTCTGTTGCTGCGTTAAACTCGGCTTCAGCCGTCGACAACGCAGTTATCGTCTGCAATCTGGAACACCAGCTCACTGAACAATTCCCACAGAATATCACGAAATCAGCGGTGCTCCTTCTTGTAAATACGTCTCCAGCGTAGTCAGCATCACTGTATCTTGTTAGCTGCTTTATATTTTTGTTACTTTTAAATATATTACGTTAGTTATTGTCACATTTAAATACCTGAAAACAGACTCCACATTATTTATATTAACGTTACTTGGTTTTTCCATAGATCTATTGTTAAAGTTAACAGCGTAGAGTAGATCTGGCTTTACTTCATCGCTTAAAAGCTTAATTGCTTCAAGGTGTTATGCTTACCTATAACTTTTGAAAGATCGATTTTTGGGTTTTAATATTTTCTTACAGTACATCATTTTATAAATATATTTACATCATTCTGTTGGGAAAAGTCCAGAGAATTATTTCATGTCACAAGCAACTAAATAACTATCACTGTAAAAGCATAACATATCTCCAAAGTTGAAAATTTGAAATTTTCTTTTAAATTGCTTTTTTAAAAAATTGAACGTGCTGGAAAAAAAACGGTTTGCAGATTCATATTCAGCTAAATACTTATTTACGGTTATAAGGTATTTTACGTGTTGAACAGTGTAATGGGACAAAAAAATGAGGAAATTCGGATAATTCTAAAACAACTGTCTTCTAAACAACTTAAATATGTTTCTGGGAATAGAACTGGAAACCTCCACCAATGGATTCCTATTTAAATAAAATGAATATGTAAAAAACATCTTAGAGTTTAACATGAATCAAGGAAAACCACGTGCTGTTTCTATAGAAACAATAAAGAAGAGAGAAGACATCGAAGCTAAATAAGATAGTACATTTCCATAAAAGAAGCAATAGGAAGCCTTAAGAGGTTATGCCTACCTGCGAGCTCGAAAGAAGACATGTATTTTCGGAATTTATTTTTAAATGTAATATGAATTATATTATAGACCAGGCCTTGCCGAACATTCGCCCGTAGGACCACATAAACAATAACACCAGCCCCTTAGTTGTCAAAGATTAAGAAATATATAAACTTTCTCCGTGAATGTTTGCAAGTTAAACATTCATTTACGACGAATATAGATTTGCATAAATATAATAACAACTTTACAATGGCAAATTATTTTCTTTCAATCTTAAAAGGTAGACAATATATAATGAAACCGGTTGTTTTCTAAATTGTATGCTGTACAAAACTTTGTTAAATATACCTAAAAGGAAGAAACGGTTCCGAGTTGACATGATACGGCCTTGAACGAAGTTCGAGTACCATAAAAGTCTCACATTCTTCACATAACTTTACGTGAAATATTTATAAAATTGTAAATAAAACGAGTAGATATAATCAAAGTTACTAACGAAAAAGGAATACCTTCGTAGGTGTGTAAAAGAAAGTGCAAAATCCGAGAATCCTCTTATGATGAATGTCAGTGAAATTCGATCAAAAATGGAACCGGTCAATGGTCAGCCGAATGGCCGTGATCTTGAATCTTGGCCAGAAATCCCGTTCTCCATTGATGACCGGTTTTAATATATTCAAGGTTGTAAGTGTGCGTACGTAGTTTGTGATCAGTAATTATGTATGACCGTGAGCCATATTTTTAAGGAAGTACAGAATGTCTCGTCATATATATTGTTGAATACTAAATGAATCAGGAAAGGAATTTGTATGTTACATTTCTTAGCTTAACGGGTAGATTCATTTGGTCGATTGCTAAATAAATCATAAAGTTTAAAATCGCATTTTATTCACTTACTTCAATTGCTTTTACACGCAATACAATATGACTCTCTTTATACTGGTTACAGGATACAGTAATTCCTCCTTTGTATATTGTTACTTACCCGGAAAATCCGAACAAACTGCTCCATCCATTGTCCCTCCTCCCGTGGTGGGGCGATGACGCTACCACCACTACTCAGCAACCAATAACAATTACGTTTATTACAATTGACCTAACAATATTCAATACAATTAATTTATTAAACCCGAATCTTATGATTTTCTTATTTTCTTGTGTTTCAGATTAAACATTCCTGAGGGGACCAAGAATGAAAATAGACTGAACACAATGTCGCTTAAATATTTTATTATTGCCATATCTTTCGTATCCGGTAAGTATTCAATGTTTTGTGCCATTTTATACTAGTTTTAATGCTATTTAAATAATAGTTGCAAATCACAATGCGATCCAAAATTTTAAAAAAGTGATTAATTAATAAATTAAATTAAGGTGACTGTGAAAATAACAGCACAATTTGTAATGAAAATAATAAAGCATTTTTGGAGACAGTTTGACATGTTATAAATCTTTTTTTTTAATATATAGATTTGTTTTATATTTAGATTTTCAACATTCTTTATGTCCTAACATACAATCTTATCTGTAATATCATCTGTGATATCCAAAGAAGCTGCGAACGTTGTGTTTTTTATGTTACAAACACGTCTTGACAAAAAGTGTCACAGAGGTCTGTATGACGACGGAGCGTCAGCTGGCCTCTTGCCCATGTTTATGAGTACAAGTCTTCCGACTTTCCAGCGGGAACAGAAGACGCCCGCCTTCAGGCAGGAGTTGTACATGTTAAGCAAGAGTCGTGGATGACTCCCAACAGCGGTTTTTAGCATCTCAGCCAGAAGTCCATCCGATCCTGGGGCCTTCTTGTTCTTCAGAAAGCTGGCTGCTCTCAAAAGTTCCGCTTCTGTAAAAGGCGACACTTCCAGGGCTTTGGACGATGCCGGGTGAGCCGGCCTGTTTGGGTGTATGGGGGACAGGACATCGACGATTCCGTCGATCGTCTTTGTGTCCATGGGGGCACTCTTGACGAACCCACCTAACTTTCGCGTCACAATTTTGTACCCCAGTCCCCACGGGTCGTTGTTCAGATCTTCCACCCAGCTTCCTCTCGCATTGGTTCTGACTAGACGTGATGGCCCACTGGAGCTCCTTCTTCGCCATTTTATGGGCGGCGGACTTTTAGGCTACGTCGAGATCCCGTTTGCGGGCTCTTTGCGCAGCCCATCTGAGCTTTAGACATCTGCGTTCTTATCATCCAGCCGCGCCAGGCCCTCTTCTTTGTCTTTGCCCCACCGGTGGTAGCATCGGCTTTGTCCGCCTTTGTAGCGCTCTCCCCCCCCCGTCTTCGGCTGGGCCTTCCTCCTCGTCTTTTTTGACGCCACCTCCAACCATGTCTTGGTCGGAGGTTCTGCGTCAGGTTGCTTTCTTTTCTCCATTGTGGGGCCCCGGTCAGGGGAGGACTGATAGCCGCCTTCTTGGTTCGTTTAGTTGCTGGAGTAAATAACACAGTAACTAACACATACACCCAATTGTTAAAGTGCGCATGTTAATGTACTTTTAGAATTTGTAAATGTACTTTGGCGCCATCTGTGGACTTGAACATGTGAAAAGGAAAGGAGAGGGAGCGTTTCGTCCTGGGCCTGCTAGTGGACTCGTCAGTAAGGCTACCTAGCAGACCTTTTTTTTTTTTTTTTTTGAAAATATGTTTATTGACAAGTGTGAGGTACAGTCTTCAGATAATCAGGTAATAATAAACATTCAAAGAATCCCTAACAATATCGAATACCTAGCAGACCCTGCCTTAGACCCGGGGATATACGATGGTCGGTTAAGGACGTATATATAGGAACGAGGAAGGCTTCAGGTAGTTGCGGGAAAGGTGTCAACTCGGTAGACCTCTGATGGCGAATGTAGGAGGTAGTGCCGCCACAGTACAAAACATAATAAAATAAGAATGTTAACAGACGTCTATTCATTTAAAATTACTTTTTTATTTGTACTGAATAATTTTAAAAGTGTAAATGGTGAATTATTTCTTATTTTTATGTATCACTTTACTATAATATTCCAGCGTACCATCCACAGTCTACTTTCACTGAATAAATATTTGTCATCAAATGTTACATGAAAAGTAAGGTGATCTTTTAGGTTCCTTAACGTAAGACATTCCGTAAAAGTGATACATTTTAGAACATTTCTATGAACTATTTATTATTCATGCTGCGAAAACGATTGCTATAAAGTGATATTTTGTTTCATTTTTAGTTACAGAATGCGCAGCCCAAGTGTACAAGAGTCATTCGATTGAAACTGAGGTAGTAATCAAACCGTTGGTTGTAAGCGATGATTTTGTTACACAAACAGTCTATGGTTTCTTGGATTTCACCACCACAATTGGAAACACGGTGATGGTCTTCAGTCCACAAAGTGCACCAGCAGGTATAATTTTACATTTTTATCCGGAAGGAAAACTCTTAGTCGTACATAATTCCTGTAGTTTAATCATCGTCGATTTTGTAGTATTGCGAATCCACGCAAGAGGTATAACTTTATTAAAAAGATAACATTTTCCAAGCAATGTATAAACTGCAATTACTTTGAATATATTAAGTTCACTAATTCTAGAATTTTCGTTAATTCTTGTGAAATCACAAACGAAGAAGTAAATAAGCTTTTTACCAAAATTACATTCGCATGTAAAATATTTACACATTTTATAGTGAATGCTATTTAAAAAACGGAAAATAAATTATTCATTGGGGGATGGGAAAATATTTTACCTGCATGAAAAACAAAAATTTTACTAGGTTATACCGCTTTCGTGGAGCGGGACCCCGACTGATTTTACAACTAAACACTTTGTGGGTGATCGAAGGTCCATTGAATGAAACCGCAACCTGGCTGTACGTATCTTACAAAAGTATGTACGTTTACTTTACATTGCAGGCCCCCGTCATCTCTTGCTCAGTAATATGTAATTTCTGTATTAACGCTAGATTTACGGGACGCGTCATCAAAAAGCGAGTTGTCATCACACGGATTTGAACCAAATTCGAATACTATAAAAGTCTCACATTATGGGTTTTACGCCCAAACCTAGTGCCTAGTTGTAAAATTAGTCAGGGGTTCCGCTCTATGAAAGCGATATAACCGAGTATATATATAGTGGACCCTTGATATATTGCCGCGCGAAGCACTATCCCTCCACACGTACATTCGCGCACACAAATTCACTCTCCCACCATGTTGCTTACGCCGTCCTCACCAGCACAATTCAGTTCTTTCGCAGATACTGGGATCAGGGCTACGATACCTTGATATATTGCCGTGTTCAAGAATTTTATTCTCCCACAGCCCCGGCCGCGGCAATATATCAATAGCCCACTGTATTATAATATATTATTCATAGAGCTAGCCAGATATACAAATTTAGAATTTTGGGAAATTTTTGATGAATCTGGAAATTTGTGTGTGACTTGACATTTGAATTAATCAGCGGCTTCGTCTTTCAGATGGAGAAACGGAAAAGAAAAGCTCCGGTATGATTATTCAGACGAAACCGATCGAAATGCAGACAAAAGCGGTTCTTGATATTCAACCGAGCAAAACGCACAAGACTGGTTCCGAAAAAGAAACGAAAAAACAAGGAAAAGGCACAAAGGTTGTTGTAAATTCTGTGATCGAAAAAAATGCCATTAATTTTTCAGACGATAGTGGGTTGCAGTCGTCAAAAAGCCAGGTGAGATAAGCTAACCATGTTTTTCAAAAATGACTAACTACAAAGAGCTAAAATTACTGGAAAACAGTTTACAGTTCTATATTTAATAATATCTTGATTATTACATTTTATGGTAGATAATTCGATACAAGGTAGTCCACGTGTAGGAGATCTTATGTGAACAGGCAGTGTTGTTTTTACAGAGAGTGCGAATGTTATAGAGCTGGGCAAATTTTATTTCGAATAATAAATATAATCCTACGATTTATTCGCGAATAATGAATAACGATTTTATTCGTCGAGAAATTATTCGTTAGTCACAAATATGCAAAAGTTTTTAATTTCCAAGTGTTGTCAAAGAACTGTGCTTCATTTAATAGATTATTACCTACGCCTAGTATGAGTAAAATGCTTCGAAGGGGACATACAAAGAGAAAGTAGTTAAATTATAAAAGAACTTGGCGTTGCTTTTTCTCTTGTCACAAGCAATGTATGTTTTACAGGAACTGAATACACGGGTTCAGTTAACAACCAACACTCCCATCGTGTCCTTGCATATGCCAATTAAATCGAAGGACGATACACCCGGTATAAAGAACAACCTAGCTGAACCTGAGTACGACTTTTTGTCGAAACAACCTACGGAAGTCGTTGACGAAACTTATAAGGTAGGAGAATTAACAGGGGTGAATTTGAACATTGAAAAAATATTGAAATCTTGGAATAATATTAGGATGGTACAAGAACTTAATTTCCGTGTTACAAATACTCAAAATGATGTCCATCGATGGCGGATACACTGTCTAAAATAAAAAATCGCGGATTGAGATGCTATTTCTATCTTTTTTTCACGTGATAGCCGTGCAAGCTGTATCTTCATGTCCCATTTTCCCAAAATCATCATCTTGTTTCAAGAAAATCATACACGTATATTTATTTTCTGTATTTGTCATTGTTCTTTGACATACTCCATCATTAATATCAAATATAAGAACTAAAAGATACATTAAATTTACATTGTCATATCATAGTGAAGGAATAGTGAATTATTGTTAATACAATTGAAAGAAGACTGTACATGGATAAACTAATAATGTTAGACAAGTTCTATACTAAACTAAATACTAGTGTATTATTACAATGTTGTGATGAATTTTATTTTATAGTTAATCAATTTGAGACCTTCTTCAAAAGCACAAGCAAAACCCAGACCCACAGGTCGCAGAGAGAAAGAGAACCCGACTGGCCTCGTCACAAAGCTCGGTGGTACCATCATTAAAGATGGACTAACTACGGTCCATGAGACGAGTGTAATTGGTACCTACATAAATGGCAAATACGCTCAAGTTCTCCAAAGCTCTTCAAGAATCCTTCAAAGCCCACCATCGATTCCTGAAGGAAAAGTTCGCCCTTCTAGCACTCAGAGAATTTTGAAAACTATTGGACCGCAACAAGGAAAACTGAAACCGCAACTAGAACCAACGCCAACACACCACCAGGAAGACTCGTCGCTGCCTCTTGAAGTTCTGTTTAGTGCACCAACAGGTACTGTTATACATATTTTATACGTGCATTAAAGTTGTTACTACCCTCTTCACGGGGTGAATCTTTCGCTGCTAGGGTGGAAAGGCAATCAGTCTGTCTTGTCGTTTAAGTGCTGTGACCGTAAACGTTTGATCGGTAGCTTGCCCCGTCTGAGCAGCCTATGTATGTAACAGAGATAGAACGATAACAGACACTTGCTCTGCCTCTATCACACACATATATTGCTTAGTAGGAGTAGCTAGCGGCTTTTAACGGAAAAACAGGCGGCTTGCCTTTCCACCTAAGCAGCGAGAGCATCACCCAGTATGTATAATTCGAATACTTTTGTTGTTCACTGTATGTCTAAATCAGGCCCGTCCAATATATGGCCCGCGAGTCGCATCGTCAGACGATGCGGTCCCCACCATCACTCAGTCCATTCCCCACTAGTCGCCTGCGCTGCGTTGCGATCGAGTAGAGGCGTGCGAGTACTCGAATTATTCGAGTAACTCGAATTATTCGAATAACTCGAATTATTCGAATAACTCGAATTATTCGAATAACTCGAATTATTCGAGTAAGTCGAATTTCGAGTCAAATAATGATCGGTCGGTCTAGTCAAGTTGAGCGTTCGAATTCTTCAAGCAACTTGAAATCGACGAACTGTTTGTAAAAAATTGCGAGCTACTTGAGAAACTCGAATGCTCGTAAAGACTTCGATTTACTTGAAAATGAATTTTCAAGTCGAAAAGCTTCGAATTACTTGAATATATTCGAACAGATCTCTAAGTTTCGAGTTAGTGGAGCAATTAACAGTAGCTTGAAAAGAGCTGTAGAAGGCGCTGGTGTACCCCCGTTTTTGGTAAGCCCCCTGCGTCGCACAGCGGAACAAAGTGCTTTTTTTTGTGTCAAAATTGTAAAAAAAACTTTAGGTAGAAATAAGATAGAAGGGTGATTCTTTTTCGAGGTTAAAACTAAGATATTGTAGAATCAGGAAAAAATACGCGAAAAAGTATCACACCCAAGTTTTGACTTTTGATTCGTTCTTCTATCTTATTTCTATGAAAAATTCTACGATTGTGACACAAAAAAGAGCAAGTTGCTTCACTGGACGCCGCAGCGCGGTTACCTGAAGTGGGAGTACACCAGTCACTTTTACAGCTCTTTGTGAGGATACTTTTAATTGCTGCATCTTTCAGAAGAGCTTATTTTGTAGGTATGATTTCAGGGAATGCGTCCATATTTGTTTAAAATTTATACACCCCTTGCCCATCACAGAGAAAATCGCGAAAAAGGATTTTCTTTATAATTTTCTGTACTAAAAAATGAATGTTTCATATAACAACAAAATTATTATAGTATGAAAATACACAAAAGTGTATTATTCATTTATAATTTGTAAATTTATTATAACATCCATACATGTTTTTTGCAATACCATTTCTTTAAGAAATTAAATATGTGACACCAAACCAATAAAGAATAAGGACTAATGAAGAAAAATATAATAGAGTTAAATATCAAAATAGCGCTGCACCAAGCAACAGTGCTGTTGATAATGGAGTAAATACTTCATAATATAATGAATACAGTATTGTTTTAATCACTTCGTTAATTTAACCACTTTAATTTATATATATCATACTGTAATTTATTTACATCATTAAACATGTAAAATGTAAATATGCACAAATGTTGATTTTATTTTACCGTTGTTAGGTTCCACAATTCGCAGTACACGGAAGAACGAGAGTCCCAGTTCTGCTCGCCCGAAATTCCGCAACAAAATTAATGAAGATTACGACAGCGGTGAGGTACAACAAGCTAAACCAGCTAAAAACCGAAGCAATACCACACCAAGAGCAACCTACAAGTAAGTAGTTATTGTTATTAAACTTACTTACTTGATCCATTTTAATACGAGTTGTATACAGGGAGTTCAATAACATATGTCAGGCAATCTAACGGGTGATTATACTAAAGTCAGACGAAGATCAAGGGTAACAAAATGGCCTTTGAGATTTCGTTTTTTAGTTATATGCATTTGAAAATAAACACGAAAGTTTCCTGAAACTAGGTAGTCAGTAAACAAACGGCAAACACAGAGTAGCTGAAAAGATGGGCCTCAGAATTGGGGAAAATGTAATCTAACTACAAAATCTAAATCGCAATTACAACGTAATTATAATGTAATTGCGAGACAATTATAGTTATAGTTACATTGTAATTAACTACACTAAATTTACAATAAAAATTACATTGAAATTGCAATTTTGATTTTGTAATTAGATTGCATTTTGTTCAACTCTGAGAAACCTACAGACTCCATAAAAAATTAATGGGGACAAGAAATGTATGTATGTATGTACGTCGTAGAAACTGTTTTTCCGTAGTGAACTCTCACCGGTAACATTGTCAACGTTCCCAAATGTCTTGCAGATGTTCGCGCAACAGTAATGAAAAAGTGCATAACTGGAAGATATTTATCTTATTCGACTTTCCCTGATGGAAGGATTGACCCTAGAAAAATGAGGATTGATCTGCAGACAATTGTCCTTTTCAAAGGAAAATGTGCACAACGGATTCTCTTGCCTTCTCGTAGGATGCACTTTACAGTTTTGAAAGTATTCGTGTTCTGATTTTTTACTATTTCCTCCGTGTAATATAGTCTAATTTTTTTTGGTGCAATTAGTATGGCACTGTGATAGATCCTTGCGGTGTGTTGAGCACCCTTTTGATGGATATTCTCTATGTGTTCGTAAAGTTTTGGTGAATACTCGTTGTGTGTGGGCAAATTTTTTCGTTTTGGCCAGTGAGGAGTTCATGGAGTAAGTTCAATGTGCAAGAATTTAAATAATGGAACTGGTTCCTGTTGCGCCGCCGAATATCGTCAAACCCACAGTTTCTACAAGGTACGTTTCCGGTTCCCATTGACTTTTACTACCGTGATTGAGCTAACTGGTTGTCTGCGGACTGCTTAATTTCGAGCAATTATCGCCTTACTTTTTAATTGCTTATAAATAAAAAAGGTAGGCTCAACGGAAATTTTGTTACTTTTGACTTTTGTTTTACTTTAGTATGTAAAATAACCCTTTAAATTTTCTGATACCTGTTATCGAACATGCTATATCTTTGCATTATACAGGGTGGGGCAATAACTATTACAACTTCAGATATCTTCGAAACTAGAAGTTTCACAGAAATAGTTGTTTAACCAAAATTGCACAGTAGGAAGAGAGCCATTTGACGGCACTAATAGTTTTTTTGCAGGTGGAGGTACTTTGAATATTTCAAGGTCACTTCCATTTTTTTAAATGTATCGTTATGTTTTTGTTTCGATAGATTAGACGCAGCGGTCTAATATCGTAGCCAGCTCGTTCACCAGACTTGACACCTTTAGATTTGTTTCTATTACATAAAATCGTAGTAGTTGTTCGAAATGATGACCATCACTATCAATGCAACACTGGATTTTTTTTATGACTGATTGATGTGCATCTTGTAACAATTCGCTGTTGCATGTCTTGAGGTGTAGTTGGTACTTCTTTGTACACTTTATCTTTCAATGTTGCCCATAGAAACAAATCTAAAGGTATCAAGTCTGGTGAACGAGCTCCAATCCAATGATCCCGCTCCTCTATCATTCTATCGAAATAAAAACATAACGATACATTTAAAAAAATGGAAGTGACCTTGGAATGTTCAAAGTACCTCCACCTGCAAAAAAACTATTAGCGCCATCGGATGATTCTCTTCGTACTGTGCAATTTTGATTAAACAAATATTTCTGTGAACCTTGTACTTTTGAAGATACCTGATGTGGTAATAGTTATTGTCCCACCCTGTATAGTGAGTTATCCATCGAGTGTTACATAATATGTCGAAAGGATTTCAGATATTAGTTAATCACGTAGAAGTTTGTAGTTTTCTACATTTCGTTCTAACATCTTAGAAGAACATGCCTCCTCCTTACTTTCAAACAAAATACTTGAACTGAAAAATAAAGAAAACGACGTTAATAACAAAGTAAATTGATACCAGTAGATAGTTACAATAGTTTTATAACCTGGAAACAAAGTCGCATAGAGATATCTAATTCAACCCTGAAAACTGTTTCCGTGTGTTATGAAACACTCTGTATGTTAACGAACCCCACGTTGCATAACTATGATATTTCAACGTGTTAGAAATCGAATTCCACCCACAACAACGACCGAACAATCTGTTACACGACGTCGCAGCGGCTTCAGACCAAGTAACCAGCCAAGCTTGCCATCAAAGCAAAGTAATAAAAGTAAAATCGAGCAGCAATCAGTCAATAACAATCCCGCGCCGAAATTAAAGCTGCCAAGGACGCAGGGTCGTTGGTCTTACAAAACGACCCCTAAACCGAGAGTCGCTATTCGAAAGCAAATTGACGATGACGAGCTGCGTTCTACACCTGAGACTAGTACAACGGTAGACCCGATGAACATCGACGATACCAAAACGACTGCAACTTCTATTTTAACATCCACAATGGCAACGCCACCTACAACAGGACAAGCAGTTAACGCTCAAAGAAAAATCCAAGACCTTGCCAGTGACGAAGAATTAGATCCCAGTGAAAGTGAGGATGTAGCCAGCATCAGTGTTCAAGATCAACAACATTCTGAACAAATACTACCTATAGAAACGATTAACGTGGAAATTTCGACGACAGCTGATCTTAGTGACGCGTATTTCGAAATCGCTACCATTAAGTCGCCGTACACTTTCCAGGTGAGCATTTAATATAATAATTTTCCAAACAGTCGAAAAGGGGATGTTCTTCGTATGCTGTGTTACCTGAATAATTATCCTTGTTTTAAATTGTTGAAATATTTTTGTAAATTTTACGTTTAAGGGAGGCAGCTCCGATGACCTTGACCTTGATATATGTTATAAAGGACATTCTTCGGAATAAATATGAAGAATTTTTAGCCGTTACTCATTATTTCCTAAACAATAATTGATTATTAAATACAGGACATTTTTCAAGCAAATTTCGCTGTCGCAAAGACAAGTTTCGGAAATTTTAATAACACAATGTAAGGTATAAATCGTCGATTACGGTGAAGGAATTAAAAAAGCTAATTTAAATCTAACACAACACAGATTATCCAGCAGTCCAGCAATTAACATCCTAATGAGTTAGATTAGTGTTAGGTTCGGGTTACTTTTTTTTTAATACAGTCGCCGTAAACGACGATGCATGCCCTTCCTACAAATCCAGGGGGTAAACATTCCAATGTTTACGTTTAGAAATTATAAAACAGTACATAATATTCAAGGCGAGCCCCTCCACCGCCCATGTATTGATTTCCTTTCGTGTTCTATACAGTGTGAGTCACCTAACATTTTCACCTAAAATATCTCAGTTGTTTTTAATGATACGAGAAAATGTGTAAGGTAGAAAATGTTTGTTCCTGTAAGGCAGTTATCGCGATAGAAAAGATTTCATTTTCAATTTAATGTAAAAGCGTGTTTGACCAATTGACCAAGATCATTAATTACTTAAATTTAATTCTCTCTGATTATAGGTTGGAACCTTAAGAAACACACGCTACGTCACTGTTACTTCAACATTAAGAAAGTCATTTTCAACGGCAGAACCATCTACTACGGTATCACCCACAGAGCCACTTACTGAAAATCTTCTAGCAAACACCGCAGCAGCTTATGAAACAACTTTGCCACTCGACTCAGCTATAGCAACTCTTCCAGCTATATCTTTAGAATCTGGCCAGGCTACTCCGCCATTAGAAACCGTGACAGAAACGTTCTCGACTACTCAAACACTTTTGAAAACTCACCTATTGCCAGTAATATACGGTAGCAATACAACTAAATTAACATTGGTGCAAACGTACAACATCGCACGTGTGATCACCGCCACGAAAACTTTACCACCGATGGACATTTACCAATTCATTCCTAGCAAAGCGTTGAACGAATTCAATTCGAAACTCGACGAAGCAGGAAGTGAACTTCACTTGGAATTAGACGTCGGAGACGAAGAGAGGGATGACGATGATATTCCTAAGAGAGTAGTAGCACTAAACAGCGGCGTGGATTCCGATCTGGAACCCTTCAAATCTATATCGTCTTCGAAAGTAAAATTAGAGGCATCGAGCAGTAGCTCCATCGAATCACAATTAACACCTGATCAACTGGCCCTATTGAAATACTTTGGTCAACAACAGCAGCAAGTTGTAACTACTTCACGACCAGTCGTTGTCCTGGAGACATTGTACGAGTCTCATGTAATTCCAGTAGTGAATAATCGAAACACTTTATATTCGACGGTATCCAGGCCAGTCGGCACTGTGCCACGGACATCTTATGAATATGGAATGTCCACAATTGCACCGGCTCTGCCGCCACAATTACCGCCACAATTACCACCGCAATTGCCACCACAATTGCCACAGCAATTACCTCTATTCCAACAACAACCCCAGTTCACGGTGACAAGCACACCTCTGGTCACGCAAACGCTGGCAACTGTTTCCGATTCAAAAATATTGAAACTGACCTTTGGAGCAAAGACAGCCTACACCACATTATTCTCTAGCCGGGTGGTACCAACGGCGGTCACAACCTACGTTACGAACACCGTGCCTGTGCAACCTTCCGTTCCTGCTTTCCCAGGTTATTATCCACCGCCAGTCGGTTACCCGCCTTTCCCTTTCGTAGGATAAAATTCTCTTATTTCGTGGTGGATGTGTAAAAAACCAAATTTAAAACCAATTTCGTATCGACGACTGAAGCACGTTATTCATTTCATGTACAGTAGTGGCCATAAAAATTGCCCCACCTCCAAAAACATCTATGTCTTTGATTTAATACTCGCATGTACTGTAACCGTCTGTGTTATTCGGCAGGAACGGTTCGATTTATATTAACCCTGTATCGCCCAGACCCTTCAATCGTTATTTAAAAATGATGTGACTGATATACATATGTTGTATCTTGTCATTTTGAAGTCGAAAATATCGACATTAAACAAACGTATTTTTCCACAATTTTCTTGTTTTATTTATTTTTTGGCGGGAATACTTGAATTTCTCAACTGAAAACGTGCAAATCAACGTTACATCGGTATAACTATGGATACTTGCTGACAAAAGTTAAATATCAATTAGTGACAGAATTTGACATACTGTTAAAATAAATGCTGCACAGGTGCAACACTGGCCGTTAAAGGGTTAAAGAAAACATCATTTATTACCATAAATCATCAAATAGTTAAAAATAAATATATCTTTAGGTACTAAATTCGTAAATGGTGTACATTTTGAACAAATTTTGATTACGAATACATGCAGTAATAAACGAAAATTTTCCCGCTTTAAATTTTGTAAATGTAATTTTTAACTTTTCTATTTGATACTGATTGTGAGATGATTCGGTACTTAGTAATGCTTCCACGTGTCTTGATAAGTGTTTTGTATCTGTTGTGTTTGCATCTTTTAGGATTTTTGTCTGAAATTTAGTGTAGCTACAAAGTTTGCAACGTACCGACATATTTGGCAAACTGTGTTTTTAAGGAGTGGTGCAATTTTATTGACCACCACTGTAGATTGTTCCAAGAATTATGAAAATAGAAGTTACGTACGTTTTAGTTGGAAAATTATTAACTCTATCTTTTCGAAGCCTACATTTTGTGTCTCTTGAGCGTTTCAGTAAATAAATAACACTACGTTAAAGTGTGATAAGAATTGCAAACGTCAGTGAAAAAGATTTCGCAGTTCATAATGCTTCTTTAATAAATTATTCTTATTATGTTACATCAGAAATACATTTCTTCTCGAGCTTCAAGCTAGTGTCCTCTCGTTGCTGAACAGGTTATACACAATTGTACCATGTAAAAGTACTTTTGGAAGGTATTATTCAATTTCGTTTTAATACTAGTTTGAATATTTCCTTGGTTAAAAGGTATAGAAGGAACTGTACAGGAGTTAGTTGATTGTTAACATTTTGATATCGTTTCAATGTTGTCTTGTCTTTTCGAATTAGATTTTGTCAAACGAAGTGATATTTTTCATTAGTAAATCGTCACGTAAAGTCATTTCCATTACAGCATTGTCAATATTCAGACATTTAGTCGATCGATTTTCATTCAGTGAAATTTCAAGGATCCGCCACATTATAGAGCATACTAGTATTTTGAAAAAATATACGTTTCTTTTATTCCTGTAATAGTGATGACGAATTTCTTAAGAATGATTTTGCTTAACAAACATGCTGTATAATTTTGTAAGAGTGTATTTGTTTAATTTTAATCTTGGTAAATCGCACTGTAAATGTATTCGTGACGTATCTATGTTTAAATAGAATTCTGGATAATTTATCCTAATTCTCAAAACTTTTGAAACCGCCCTACTATGTATTTATGAAACGTGAACAGAAGAAACGTTTGCATCGAATAGTGATGACGGCGACAGATATTATTCTAAACCTTGTACCATTGTCGATGACAGTAATTGTATCACAATTCTATCTTATTAGGTTTTAATACGACTCTCCGTAATCCAGAGATTTGGCATTTTAGTATAATTTTATTCAAATTATTTAAAACATAGTACCTAATGTTAGTACTAGTATTTAAGGACACTTCCAGGTAAAAAATTTTCAAGAAATCGAATATTTTGTTTCGCAGAATTTTATTCAACATTTTAAGAATGACCAGATAAAATTTTAAAACGAAATTCCCAACCGTATAGACTTTATAGGCAAGTAACCGACCCAAAATCGAAGCGCAACTTGCAGTCAGCTCGCCAAGAATTTTAATTACATAATATGTGCTTCTTGAAACGCGTTCTTTACGCGTTATCGCCTCTATAAAAAATGCAATTTTTGAACGATTCTGAAAATTCAAATGGGATTCTATTTCTAATTACAAGCGCCACCGCCTTAACGACTATTATGAAATTAAGGCCTAGCGGCAGTTACACGTATAGGGAACAGATAATTACCACTTTTGCATGTTACGTTACAATTACATACATGTAGCTACCTATGTAAAAACGTCCAATTATGCGCAATAATATCTGAATACCTTATCTGCACGTTATTTTGTGAACTGGTGCGAAAATAAACTCTGGTACAGTTTTATAAACAATTTTTTAAACTAGGTCTTAAAATTACGTGCTATCTAATGATGATTGTAACAGGTGAACGAACAAGTTATTGTAAATAAATTAATGATCTTTATACGGTACTCCATGTATATTGAAAATTTTGTAAATAAAGTATGTAAAAATAGCACTAATATTTCTTCAGTATAAACTAGTAACACATAATTGAAATATTAAACAGAAAACACAGTCACATTATATCAGGCGTACAAAATGTAATACTATCGTAAACATAGAAATAAACTTCAACGTTCATTCGTTCTGTTATAACTTGATGGAACAGTTTAATACAAAAATGAAACTATTCATATAGAAGAAGATGTTGTCATTATGGGATTCATTATTGATTGGCGTGGATCTTTTCGGAAATGACTGCTGATTACAGCTTGATAAAGGGATTATTAACTTCACAAGTTCGCCTTTGATTATTACCGTTTATTATATCCTTAACTGCTTCTTTTCTCACACACATTCAATCGTACAGTAGAACACACATGTACATTTGTCACGTCACATGATAGACACTATGTAAATACTGTTTTATAGGTCAGGTTGATTGGTTTATACGTTTCATAAAATATAGATACTTTTCTTTTCCTGAAGCAATGATAATCATTTTTAACATCGACAATAAAGAAAAAATTAATGGGTTATATTGTAGAGAGAGAGAGAGAGAGAGAGAGAGAGAGAGAGAGAGAGAGAGAGAGAGAAAGAGAGAGAGTGAGTGAGAGTTGTGGGAGGGGGAGGGAGAGGGAGACATAGAGTGGTGTGACGTCAGAGAATGTGAGATGACTTCCGGTAGAAGCGTGTCACGGTTCACGGTATGAAAGAGGCATGAAACCTTAGAAGATACATATAAACATTTATTTGATTTGTATTTATCAGGAACCAGTATATCCATGTATAGCAATTAGTTGGATACAAGTATTATTAATATACATACATACACACTTTGTAAATCATTATTGGGTAAAGACAGAAGGTTTGTTTGTTTAATAAATATTACCTTATTATAACATATTTCGACAGCAATACGACTTTGATACAAGAACAGTTGCATCGTTTGATATAAGCGCTGAAATTTTTCCATTTTCTGTTAATAATAATCCGGAATAATATTTAACACGAGGTGCAGTTATATATTTTTCTTAAACCTAACCGAAAATCTAAAATCAAAGTAAGACACTTCAGAAATATTTTTGAATGTATGTAACTCGGAAACTAAAACCGAGTGGCAATAACATGTATAACTATGACCTTGACAACTTCTTTTTAAGATCATCGAAATCGATGAGATGTGCCGCTTCGTAAATAATTAGGTACCGAAGGTTTTTTTTTTTAAAACAAAAGATCACACCCATGTGTCCGAAAAAAAGTGCAAATAAGTAAACTCTGTTTTACAAAAATTATGTACACTTAAATATGGTTTAACGCTTGTCTAACACAATTTTATACGAAGTTCAAAGAAAGTCCTGAAATTTCCTGACGATACATGATACGCCCTGTACATACATTGCTGTCACATTGTCTGTAAAATTAATAGCGTTAAATGAGTTATGAAAGATATCGTTCACTATAATATGAACGTATATAATCATTTAAATTGTCCAGTTTACAATTAATCGAATAATTACTGTTAACTTTTTATTTATCTCATAAATTCCATAACACTTTTCTAAATTCCATTACTAAAACAAGTTATTCTTGTAAATAAATAAAACGCTGGACTGATCATTTTTTAGATGACGTGAAGTAATATTCACATTTTCTATAAGAATATGCCGCGGGGGTTGCTTTCGACTGTTCACTCTCGGTATGCAAGCACACGACTAGGGGTGAGCAGCCGTGGCCGAGTGGTTAAGGCGTCTGACTCGAAATCAGATTCCCTCTGGGAGCGTAGGTTCGAATCCTACCGGCTGCGGATATATTTTTTTTCTTTCCCGTTCGAGTTGCAATGATGCCAGGGTCGGTTAGTTTTTCACGTTGTCATCTTCTGCGTCGTAAAATTTAGTTGTCACGAATTCATCGCGACGTAACAGGTCATCGAATTGTACTATTAACTTTTTCGTCGGTTAAAATTTACCTACGACGTAAAAGAAGCTCCTTCTGCAAATAAAAACGAAAACATGGAACACCGGAATTACCGCGAGTGGAAAGATTACGATGATGGAAATGGGAAAAGTTGAAATGTGCGTCACATTATCATACCAATTTCAATCGGAAATAATTGTCTGAATATTCATTTGCTTATTTTATGTTATTACTGTGTAATTCGCTCAATGTATTTTCCAGCAACCACCTAAACGATTTCTAATATATAATTTATGTTGCATGAATAAGTCATGTAAAATTTATGTAAAATTTAGTACGTAGTTCGTGTTTTCTTTTTATTGAAGAATTAGTATAAATTAAATGTAGCATAAGGAATTCGTAAGACAATGTAAATTATACTCGAAATTATTAACTTAAACAATTTTATAACATTATTACACAGAATATATGTTGTTATATACAATAATATACGCTTCGAAAGTTTTGATTAGTTGTATATAAGAAAATTACATTATACTGTAAAAAGAATAATGGTTTTAATTATAGTGCTCTTTATATTCATACAATAAGGAGTAGAAAATGAATAATTTTGTTAGTAATTTATCCTCAAAAGGAAAGAATCGGAGAGATAAATATTATTCAAACGACGAATCCGTTTGAATCTACCAAAAAATAAATATTAAATTTGAAACTATAATGGATTACTTACTAATACTAAATCTGATAATTTAGGTATTCGATGACTTTTATCCGTGGGTAATATTACTAGGTGAATGAAGGACAAACTCGTACTATTCGAAATGGCAACTGTTTATTACGAAAAATGTGAAACAATTGGACATTATGAGACGCCTTAAGTCGATGTTATAAAAGACAACAGAGTTGCCTAGAAAGCAGTATCCTACGATTACCCTGTTTATTTTTCTCGTTACTGTTATTAAGTGCTCCTCGACAAAGGCAGTGTCTGTTTGATTGATCAGTCTCTTGAAATGATGCTCGAATCACCGAAAAAACAAGGATAATCTGAGAACGCTACACACTCGTATTCGGAAAGATACGCGGAAAAATCGTAATTGTACAATATAAATAAATTACGGTTAATACTTCCTCATTCCTGTACATTCACGAGTCTAACAATTTTTTAAGTTACATAATAATATAATAGGATAAACGATCACCAAAGTAAAAACGGCACTCGATACAAGTGTCCCATTCAAGTTCGAAAAATCACTCACTCTCATAATCACAATGAATATTTCTTATCGGAATACTTGTTCGCTAACATTAAGTGTCGTGCCGATCTATAGACTGGTATCTATCTTGGATCGCACGATTCTTTCTTAAAGGCAATGATTATACATAAACCTCTTACGCAGCTAGAACGAAGACATTCTTTTTTACTCTCGCTTCTCTTTCGTGAACAAGGAAAACACTTTTTTCTTTCAACGAAATGCTACTGTTCCTTTCGACCTTCATTTCGAAACAGTGTTGAACGTTCTTCCACTTGTTACATGACTTCGTCGAAATTGTTATCATGGAGTTCTTCATCGGTATCGATGTTCTGAAACGGCGTTACAAGCAGTTGCTTCCCGAAACAGGCGTGTTTTTCGACAGTTTCAGAGCCCTCAATTGTTTGTGCAAACGTTGCTTGCAGAATTGGTAGAATTCGATTTCTCTCGTGAAATTACTGCGCACCATGTCTTTCACTTCCTCGCTGACCGGTGGCTTGAAGAAGTTACGGTTGATTCTTGTGAAGGCGTTCACTTCGTCTGGAATAAGTCAGGTTTTACTAAGTTTCGTTGTTTCTAGTAAGCGTGAATTCGTTGATAACACTGTCCAATAGATTTTAACCTTAGTTCTGTTTTGCAATATTCACTGGACGAGATTGTATTATTGGTGTCGATTGCGCGTAGCTACGACACTGACTCGCCGAGGCAGGCAAAACGCCGTGCACACGTTCCCCGCGAATATTTTCTCTACCTCTCCGAATACAATACCATTCCGATACTTTTTTTGCATGGTCTTTCTCCAGAAATGTCGACAGAATGCGAAACCATGTACCAAGTTCGAGCTGGATAAAGAACTTTTCGTAAAACTGTAAAAATAGTGCGTAGAAAATACACGCAGCGACACTTTTCGACACTTTGACATCCATTTACAACCATTCAGAATTACAAAATTTAATAACTGTATACACTGATATAGTCAGGTAACTCTCCTCTAGCTTCTAAGACTAAACAGAACTTTCTAGCGCTTTTAGTTTTCACGTAATACGCCATATTTGCTCGGAATTGGGCGTTTTTACAAAAATTCGTGTTTTTCAAAAACTGAGGGTCCTGGATGTATCCTGATTTGTGTTTATGGCGAGGAACTCTACAATAGTCGCCCAGTGGATATTGCAGAACAGAACGAAAGTTAACATTTGTTGGACAGTGTTATTAATTAATTAGAAATACTTGACGTATGTGCGTCGACGAAAAATGTTTTGCGTGCAAAGTATTTCTTTATTATAATTGTGAATTGATAAAATGAACAGTTAGTTCGATGAAAATTATGCAACAAAAGAACTACCGTAGTAGACGTCAGTGGCGCCTTGGAAAAATCGGGGAATGTAATTCTCCAACACCGTGAGAGTGGTATTCACATCCTCGAGTACACCGACCACCGCATAGTGTTTCTCTACCGCCAATTTCGCTCGTTCCAGGGCACCGGCAGTGTTGAACGGACTGCGGACCAAAAAACAATATAATAATTTCATACATTTGATTTGGCAGAACACTCTGTTATCACGCAGAGCATTATATACAAACGTATCAGGTTACAAGTAGTTATAATAATCATGGAAACGAGTAAATTTAAACAACACAAGTCTTAAAATCAGAATGAATTACATTATGTTAGTCGAAGAAAGATTTTCTATGTTACCAGAGAGAAAAAAGTTATTGTTAACACACCTGAACTACTGAAAGAAATTTTTTAAAATTAAAGGTAATATTTAGAAGACATTATTATTTGTAGCTTTTTGGCTGCATGATATCATTGATAAAAAAAAAAAGTCACGATAAAAATCTTAACAAGTACCATGCCCAGTGGGCCATCCATAGCTCACGACAAACTTCTCGTTATGGCCATTTGACGATTTTCATTATCCACACATATATTATACTGCGTGAATTATTGAAATCAATCCCACGAGTATCTTCAAGACCATTGACGATATTAAAAAATGTTTTAAATTGTACGCGGAGAGGATATATGAAAGTCAAATTAGTTTTTTAAAGTAGAATTGAAAAATATTTGTAATATTAATTATTGCTGGTTGTTCAATAAAAGTGCTCGCCTTGTTGTGCAATAAATGTTTTGCTAAACTATTTCACTTCCCTATTCAAAACAACGCAGATTTTGTAACTTTCCTTAACACTTTCTTGGGCAGGAAGGTCTGCTCTATCACGTCCTCTGGTTAGATTTTCTCCTAGACCTTTAATTTTTTAAATAAATTAAAGAATATCAGCAAAAAGTGGTGCATTTTCGGTGTGCTTTTCACTTTGAACATTATTTAAACATATTTAGAAATTTATAATCTATTAAAAATTTATATCATTTTATTCGCAAGAATCCAGAGAATTAATTCGTGCGAAAAGAAACTGAATAACTATTACTGTAAAAGCACAACACAGCTCCAGAGTTGAAAATTAGCAATTTTTTTCAAATGTGATTGTTTCAAAACCTGGACGTGCTGGAAACAAATGGTTTGCAGATTCGTATTTAGCTCATAAAGATCTATCAAAAACGCTTATTGACAATTGCAAGAACGAAAAGAAGTTAAAATTTGTTGAATAGTGTTATTTTGGCAACGACCATGCGAGTGTTACGCGCACTTTACTTCTTTCTACAGTTTTTTCAAACATCGTTCTACAGACCTTGTATACCATGATTACATTGTTTTCTTTCTATTAAGACTTATCAGTTACTCGTTTAATCGTGTACAGGACAATTCACTTTAAAGATACCTACGTTAAGAGCGTCTGCCTGCGGTGATCACCGATCCCCTCGTGAATTTCGCCCTCCAGATATCTGCATTCACGGTCCGCCTTAAGTACACAGGACTCGAAGTCCTTTTTGAGCCAGTTGGGATCCGGCAGAGGTAGGTCTGGAAATATTTGCTTTCTCTCGACGTAATACCATGGCGCTCGCACGTAATAGTACCAGGATATCACCCTCTCAACGGGATCCCGAACTATATTGATGTAAATTGGCTGCGGCAAGTTGAATCTGAGAAAAACGTTCGGAATCAGATATACGCCGAGAGGCTTCAGATAGAAATACTTCCGGGTAATTTCATTAGTTGATTTCAAATTTCTTAGAAGCAGGACCAAAACAATGCAGTAATTCCTCGTAAATTTTAAGGGGGTGTTCTAGTGCAAATCTTTTGGAAAACCGATTTTTTGTGCATTTTCGAAAGTATATCTCTATAATAAGATTCTGCTGAATTCGTGAAATCAACGAAGTTATAGATGTTTTAAAGAAGACTGCATACAGCCCGCTGCGTACATACACTCCCATTCATGAGTATTATGACACTTATCGAGTATGCAGTAAATAGTACCAAGCATTATGAAATTGCTGAAAGTCTGAATAAAATAAATCTTATATTGTTTAGGGGATTTTAGATAAAAAATTTATCTTTTTTCCTGATTTTGTTAACCCGCGAAACACGAAACAAATCGAGAAAATGGATATTAAAAAACAGAGTCTTTTATGAAATGAAGGTGGGACAGTAACCTCAACCTTTTGTACGGTAGTGTGCATCTCTATTTATGTAAATTTCGTATGCAGGAAAATTTAATAACCATTGACGCTTTGAGGATTAAAATGTGTAAAAAGATCACAACAAGAACAATTAAAATAAGTTAAATGATTTTTTGTGTACAGTAAATAAAATTCTATAACAGAGACATAACCCTCAGAAACCACACCCACCTGATCATACGTAAATACCACACTAGTGCGAATTGGGATTTGGAATTTTTGATGATTAAGAACTCGAAGAGAGTAAAAGCAACTTGAACTCATAACATATTTTTTAAAGTAAAAATTCTTCAGAAATTCAATGGTAATAATTGAAAGTGAGAAATAATTTTGTATCCTAATGGAGGGAAACCGTTGTACTAACCAGATAGAATATTACAAACGAAACAATATTTCGCTGGTACAAATTCACAATAGTGTGGCGTCTGAGTGATAAAGAAGAGATTTTTTAACAAAAGATTTAATATTGAGTATACTTCTCAGAAGCACAAACGACAATTTTATTCACATTATTTTGGTCTTCTTGATGTTGCAATATTTATGCACAGAAAAATATATTATGATAACATTATAATTCCTTTGGACAATCTAATTTCTACACCACAACCTGTATGGTACGTTAATAGTTACTGGACCACCCAGTGGACAAGAAATATGAGTGAAATTCTAATTCAATAAACTGCATATGATTTCAGGAAACTTACTCTGTGAAGTTGGTGAAGCACACATGCTTTATGTATACAGATGGCTCTAAGTAACTGTTGACCATTCTGGCAAGTTGTAGCTACAATAACAGGAACAATTAAATAATATTTTACCATTACATAACAGTTTTACTTATTTTATTTTACTTGTCATTGGAAAACTAAAATAATTGCAACAATTATACATATATGCACCCATAAACATGCATTATTGATTGAAACACGTAGGAATTTTCTCCTTAAATACCATTTAACTAACTGTGAATAATTTTCTGTATGTAAGTTTAACATCGCAAAGACATCAAGGTCATTAGCGACCCGATCCTATTGTTTTGTAAATGAACAATAGAAACTGAAAGTTATAGAAATCATTGACAAAAGTATTAATACATTTTAAAATGACATAAAGTTACGCGTGATCAGCGTATACTTTATCATTATGCTGTCATCATATCTTTCAAATTCTTTAATTTCCAATTGTGCAGCATTAGGCGTTCAGTTAAAATTTTATTCTCCAGTATTCTCACAACTGAAACATATGCACTTCTCTCGGTCCTCCATTTCATTGATAATTTCCCTCAGTCCGAATTCATCATTTTCTGAGACTTTTTTTCTACTATTCTAAAGACCCAAAATCTGAATCAAACTACGGAAATTCGCATAGTAACTCAAGAATTATACGATAAATTGGTCAAATCTGGTAAGATGATAATTATAGCGCGGTTTCCTACCATAAGGATATACCAGGTGTCCCAAAATAGCTTGGACTCCCGCAAATAAGGTGTTTCTAGGATGATTTGAAACAACTTTTTATTGAATTTTTGAAGATAATATCAATTTAAGAATATTGAAATTTTCAACTTATAAAGACCTTGCTGAATCATCCGTCTTGATTCTACAGTTTTCAATCGCTTACTAATAATGTTTATTTAAATTCTGTAAACAGTCGCTAATAACCTTCGTTGCTGAAGTGACACTAAACTTGCAAAAAAAAATGCCAAGTACATTTTTAGTAACAACAGCTTTCGTAAAATGAAATTTAAAACAGTATAACACGTGTTAATTCAAATCGAAAGAATATTTATCGTATAATATGACTTTAATGAAGTTGAAAAAGTAAGTCGAAATTTTTCGGTCAGTAACGTATTTGCAGTCTGAGTAGTAGGTACATATATTATGTAATCATGTTGTAATTTTCGTTGGTGTGTGGTAGACACTTGTTATATCTATGGTCTTTAATACTGTTATCCATATTTCATATTTTATCAATGAAAATCTAATGAATTTTATGCATTTTTTAAATATATTAATACCTGTTCGATAGGTGCAAGACGTATTGTCTCGACTCTTTGGACACGGTCTCTATTAAACGAAAAGTCGTTTCGCATCGAAAGCCTCCTTAGCAGCTCCATAAAAGTTTGGGAGCCCACTTTTGGTACACGGTTGAAGAACAAAACACCTTTGCCCGCTCTTTTCGTGTTATTTAGTGTGTCGATGTCCAGTACTTCCGGTTCCTTGTACTAAAATCAAGTAAGAGGTAGGTTAACATTCTGCAAATTTTATTATTATTGTTTTACTTTTCTCCTTCAGTTTGGAGATACTTATGCCCATTCAAATTATTACCGATCTTATTACAGGCATTTGATATTATATTGAACATTATATAAATTTTATTAGTCAAAGTGAGATTCAATAGACTCTATATATGTACTTTTTTCATTGAAATAGAAGTGTTAGATTCGTGTTATATTCATTACATAACTATTTCACTAAATTTGAAGATAACTCTACAATGACACTTTTAGCAATCATCTTTCTGCCAAATGTTATCATCGGTAGACAGTATTTTTTAGCGGACACCTACATGCATCGTTATAAAGTTTTTTTAATAAATTTGGCTTCATGTTAATTAAGTTTGGTACTTTACATAATTGATTTCATTGTCATGTTATATAGTATTGTGAAACAAGTAGAGTACACTGCGTAATTTTGCAATAAAGAAAGGAGCTATGTTAATAATTTTCATTCATAAAAATAACGTCAGATATTTTGATCAGACCTGTGAGTGAAATCGCCCATTTCTTTTACAACGACCCAATTATATATTTTTTCTATTACACTGTTCAAGAAATTTTACCTTTTTCTCGTTTTTGTAAGCTGCAATAGGTACTCTCGATAGATCTTTATGTGCTAAATACGAATCTGCAAACCGTTTCTTTCCAGCACGTCCAGTTTTTGAAAAAATCAATATTTACAAAAATTGAAAATTTGCAACTTTTTTTTTCTATTGACACGAAATAATTATCTGGACCCTTCCGAACAAAACAATATAAATTGTTATTATATTATAGATATCTAAATATGTTTAAAAAAGGTTCAAAGTGAAAAGCACACCGAAAATGCACCACTTTTTGCTGATATTCTTTAATTTATTTAAAAAATTAAAGGTCTAGGAGAAAATCTAACCAGAGGGCGCGATAGAGCAGGCTTTTCTGCTAAGGAAAGTGTTAAGGCCAATTACAAAGTCTGTTCTGTTTTCAATAGGGAAGCGAAATAGTTCAGCAAAAGACGCGGCAGAGACAGTGGTACTCAATGACGGCAGTCGCTTATCCTGCCACTCACAAATTGTGAATCACAATCAGCGTAAAAGTGGGATTTCCTATAACTGTCGGTTTGAAAGCTTCCTCCCTAGACTCCTTTATTGCAATCGTGTCCCCGCGATATTTTACCGAAACTTTGATTCTAATAAACAAATGTTTGGAACACTAATACACACATTGAATTTAAATTTCTAATTAAAGTATATTTTTTTTAAGTTTACCACAGAGTGGGATAGACACAACAGCTTCTGCAAACATATCACAAATACTTTTTGCGGTGTTTGTAACATTTATGCATGTTATTTTTTAATTTTTTTTCACAGGCTCAATATCAATTGCATTTAAACAATAAAACACGCTTAACCACCTCAATTTTATTTCTAAACAACAATTCATTGTGTTGAATTGACATTGACATATAATATATTAACACAATTGTTTATTGTTTTCAAAAATCCGTGGCGATCACATCATCTGGAGAAAATCCATCAAAACTATTGCACTACCTACTATAACAATAAATATATGCTTATCGATTTTAAACAATAATCATTTCGAAATATTGATAAAGAAGATCTTCAAAACAACTAAACTACCTCATTCAACGAGTCGATTCAGTAACTTTAAACAACGGGAAATCATAACCATTTAGGAGGGACCGTTACAGAGACAGTTGCCAGCCAATACAGCTGAGCTTAGCACGTTCTTTACAAGAACATATGTTCCTCTTAAGAGAAAAATCTCCTCCTTTGACATCTTTTTGTATCACCGAAAGTAACGGAGGTATTTAAGATACTCTCGTTAAGTAAATATCTTATGTTACAATAAAGACAGAAAAAGGTCTCTGACATCCAGGTGTTAAAATGAAACGACATTGAGTAAATTTTTGTTTCTTATTATCGTATTCGCCTGTTCAAGTTATTTCACGCGGCTTAGAGAGTGTCCAACGGAATTTAAACCGATCTTCTTCCTGTCCACGTTTTCAGGGCTCGGGTATTACATCACAAGTACGTTACATTATTGCATTATTACAACACGTGTTTATACGCTTCCTCCTCGATTACGGATTCCCCTGCCCTCTTCCTATTCGTCTTTCTTCCTTGCGTTCTTCGTGAATTTGCAGTCCATCTTTCTGCTTACTGCCCACGGTATTAAAGGATTGCGACGTAATTTGCTTCGTGGTCGTCTGTGTAATACTGAACATTACGAGGGAAAATCTACCGTGCACCCTTGCTCGGTCCCCGACACCCGTAAAAGTAACGATAGGATCAAATAAATTGCAAATGACATCGACATCTCGTGGCAATACGTTGGAATCCTATCCTAAGTATAGTTGATAAAAAAGAATCAAGAAATTCCACAGTGAAAATGTCCTTTTATAGGAAATAGAAAAGTACGAAATTTAATTGTCTTCCCAACGGTTCCAGATTTATACAGGGTAATGTGGAAATAAAGAAGTGCACTGCCACATAAACGATAAAAAGGTGTACATTTAAATTTACACTCCTGAATATTATAACCAATATCTTATACAACACACTGCACTCTGCTCTCTGTTTTTGCCGTTTTCTTCCTTTGCTAGTGCTTTTCCCGTACAATTACGGCCACCTTTCAATGCAATTAATATTGTAAATGATTTAATAAACAATTTAATACTATAAAAAATTTCTATAAGATATTCAACAAGAACCTATTGCGACTTTGAAACTTCCTTATATACAGAACAGAGTAAAAAAGTAATCGTTACGACATATATGTATCTCTTCATTGAATTCTCGTGATTTCCATATCAAGCGTTCATTCGTGCAATAAATACTTTATTAATGAAATTAGATACTCCTGCGAGGTAAACCAGTCATATTTAATTCTAAAGCGTCAAGTTTACTTTGTCAACCGTAATAGATAGCCGAGGAGACTGGAGAATGGCGGCCAGTATTAATATTTCAAATCGATATGCCTAATGGTCGATTCATATTATCTGCAAAGCATGGACTGTATCCGGTCAGCATCGATCAGGTAAATATTCTAGAGTGTATCGTGCGGGCCAGTATAGTATGTCACGGGCGTGTACGTTAAGATTAATTTTACCTGTAAGTATAGTTTTGCATCGTTTTGCAAGTCCAATTTGCTGTACAAAAAAACTAGAAAGTCTCTACTTTTCGTATATTTAATTCTTGTTGCGTAGAATGACATGGAACCTATTCAAATTTGTAATAATAATTAATTACTTGATTCGAAGTGTGATTTACAAAAATACAAAAAAGTTATTGATAATCTATGTTTATTAAAACTAAAATATATACTTTGAGATGGTATATCCATTATAAATTTGAAATTTAAGTGCACATTAATAAGCTTACAGAATATTTCTATGGATGCCTGAAACGTGATCGATTAACTACCGCTTTATTGTCTGCCTTTAAAGTATGGTTTGCCTAGTCTGTATACATTCCAAAAAGGATTTAACGTTTTAATATGTAAGATTCTTAATACATGGTCATTATAGATTACATTAAAACAATTACTTTAAGTTTATTTGAAAATTAGTTTTGTCTAAATTTCTATGTCTATGGTATAATGCAATTTAATTTCATTTGAACATAATTGATGAATTAATTAATTACATGTGACCTATGTGCTCGTTCAGAGTGCAATGGATTGCCAACACTAGTTTCGAATAATGAAACGTTTCGAATTTAATTTGATGTACATTTGTTTTACACATTTCAAATGTCGTTCAGTAATAGTTTTATTACACGACAGTGGATATAATAAATAGTGGTAGGTTTATCCCAGTAGTTTAGTAAGGTAAAATTTGAGATTATAACGCAACATACACAAATTTTGTGGAATAATTGTAAAATACATACGTTCAATGCGAACAAGCGGTGTCCGTTTGAATAATGGACGGTACCACTTGGACTCGACTCCGTTTGGGCTGCTTCTGAAACAGGAAATGAAATCATAATTAATTCATATTACCGAAATTGGAAACGAACACAAAGAATCAACAATTTGCCACCATTTTGACATTTATAGGGCTTTCACGATAAGTTTCTCCGCTATCTCGAAGAAGAATTACCAGAGCTGTGTCCAATGTTTGTATAATTATCATGAACAATATCTCACTGCAGAAGCAAACTACTTTCAATAATTGCTGATAAAAAGCGTGAATATTATACGAAAAATTTTTGTTTTAGCTTGAATTCGAAAAATTCTGGGAAAAACCGTGAAGGGGACGTTCCCGTAACCCCGGAGGACTATTCTAACGCGACAGATAAGGAACAAAAGAGAAACTTGGAAAGTAAGTTTAAAAAGACAAATGCACCCAGGAAGTTAAAGAAAACCAGAGCATTGGTATCGAAAAACATAGAAGAAAGAGATTATCCGTGTAGTTTGCTTAGAGAATAATGATGAAGTCTGAGAGAGTGAAACTGTTAAGAATGGGCTCACGAGGCTTCTGCCGATATTCCTGAGTGTTTTCATGACTGTATTAAATATATAATATCAATATATCACAAATTTTGTGATCGTGGTAAATTATTTGGAAGCTGACCTACGTTAGGTTACTTGTTTTTGCTACGTCCGTTACTAGGTGCCATTCAATGTTCTTTTACAATCATATACCAGCGTTTAATGTTAAATTAATTTGAATATTATGAAAATGTTGGTGATTTTGTTCCTTCACTTTGATTCCCATTGTTGTTAACTTGTTATTAATGGAGAATAACAATAAAATAAAATGAAATATTTTTTATTTATCTAAGGAAAACCTTAAGTGCCCGCCATTGGGAGAACTCCCACTACATATGTATATGTATGTATCTGGTTCTCGTCGAACCGAGTATTTAATTTGGAATAAAGTAGATGATCACTCATTGGTATATAAAATACATTTAAGTTATACTTAACTTATGCCGGGCGACACATCGTCAATCACTTATTTTTCCCATTTTTTCACAAAAAATTGCAATTATGAAGAGGCAAGCGCTCTAGCTCAAGTAAGACGAAGATGACCATTATATACAGTTGCATACATCTAATAAAAAAAAATGTCCGAGAAACATTAATGATGAAACCTGCTCTCATTTCCTCGTCTGTCCAGTGGAATTACGGAATCATCGACCAACGGCGTAGAAAGTGTTAGCAAATGCAGCTGCAACGTAGCCCCAAATTAATCGACGTTCACCAGGAAGAATTCGATTCATCTCGGTATGTACACTGATGCCTTTCCCCTATTAAAGGAAATTCACATCTCCCGGGGATTGTACAGTTCACATTACTCGGCCACTAAAAAATCACCATCTCTAGATTTTAATACGTGGGAAAGGTGTTTGGAAAGTCGTATCGTCTAAGGAGTTCACTCGTTTATGAACATTATATAAAATCACACGTGTTTGAAGATGTACGAGTGACAGGTGTATTAGATAATTACGAAAGTCTCGAGGCAACTATCTTTAAATAAAAAATAAACGAATTGTTGCCCGAAATCATTAATTCGATTAATCGTATGAGGCGTTGCGGGTAGTAAGGGTGAATTCGGCGAAAGCATGTTTTAAAAGATACGCGTTTTAGACGTTTTTCGTCGGGGCGAACTCAATAAGAAATTGTTGTACATTCGCCAGCAAACTCGGCTTCCGCTAGGGGAAAAAGTGGCGTTGGAGAAGGGCCTTTTAAAATTTGGTATCGAGAATTATTGAAATTTATGCCAAATTAACATTCGATTTAATATTTATTTCAGTACTTGAAATAAATTTACCAAGTGGTAAGAGGTTTTTCTCTTACGCCCCTTTTTCCTCTAGTGAAAGCCAACTTTGCTCGAGGGTGTACCTGATTGACTATTTGTTCGCTTCTTTTATGCAATTATAAAATAATTTTAAATTATTAAAAATACTGTTCAACAAATTTTAACCTTTTTCCTACTTCATAACCTTCAATAAGTACTTCTGACAGATCTTTATGAGCTAAATACGAATCCGTGATCGAGAGTCTACTGAACCTTCAGCAACATTAAAATATCTAAAGCAAATTCAATGTTGTTAAAATCAAAGGAACTATAATATTTAAAAAATAACCGAGTCCTTTAAATATACTTCTCCCAACTTTGGAGCAATCTATCAATAGGAAGATGCGATAAGTGGCAAATGTTTCTTTTCAGTTAAAGAAGTCTGATGTCTGCTAAATATAATTAAAAATCAATTTCCATTAGGAACGGGTGGAAAGTAAACTAAAAGTTTAAAGACGTGCACAAATTCTACCCTATTTCAGTGATATCTACATCTACAATTTAAAGAACTTATTTCATAGCTTTTATTACTCACCCTCTAAAGTACCAGCCTGGTTAGTACAATTACCGAATTCCATCGAATAACACAAATATATCGCTTTAAAATTGACTCTAAAAAAACACAACTAACTTCCAAATCAAATCACAACGTGACCAAAGGTTAAAAGTAATTAATTACGCATAAAGAAAAGCCGAAGTTTCAATTTTTATTTTTCGAATTTTTGCCATTTTTTCGTGATATGGTCCACTGCACAATGGTCGCGAACGTGGCACGTATGCCAACTCGAGGAATCAAATACTATAAACTAGCCATTCGTCAACTGAGAGGAACGGTTCGCAAACAACAGAAATGCCAAAGTGGAAGTCCCCGACTTCCGTATTGTTCTCGTTCAATGCTAATCAGGCGTGGCATGGGCAAACAGCGAACATGCAAAGTACAACAGGGATTTCCATATAACGTCGACGGAAGTCCCTTTACGCGGTTGCGAATTCAAAGTAGCTGAAATTGAAAAACAGGTAACGCTCATTGTTTCGGCCGCGGGAGACAGTAGGAACGGTAACCGTTCGAGCGAGCAACGAGGAGAAAATCGCCAGGGCGTTAACAATACCCGGTCATGCAGCTGGCAATCACGTTTTAAGACACGTTTCCTCATTTTTCCATAGATCGGGAATTAATGCCAACAAATTTGACAATTATCATGAACTATTATTATTACTATTCTTTAATTGTTAGTTATTAAATTTTCAGCATCACTGCCAACAGTTACTTACAATTTATATTATTTTTTTTATCAAATTTATATTGTACTTCAATACCAAAATATCCGTTTTCCTTATTCTGCACTTTGTAGAAGATCTTTTTAAAATAACATTTTTGTTGCTGCCTACGCTTGCGCTTCAGTGACTCCCGGAATGTTAACAAATGTTAGAACAACTTTGATGGTTCGAGTAAATAAATGTTCACAAGCCCGTGGTGGACATTTTGAACATTTAATTTAAAGAACATTTTATTTCTTCACGAGTAAGCAAAGGACTCAAGCTCGTATAATTCAATAACGAAATTTCCGAGCGCTTCAAGTAAGTACCTACAAGTCGAAACTTCAAACTGTTATATCTCATCATGCAAATATCTGACAAAAAAATGTTTCAGACAAAATTTTCTTGTTTTTTCCTGTAGAATCTAAATATGTAACGTTTTATAGGGGGTTTCATTTAAAATTATAAAGGTGACCCCGCCCCCCTTAAAGGGGAAGGGGGGGGGGGGCACTTCACATTTATGTAGTTAGAAAGGCCCTTCAGATTCATTCAAGTTAAGACCAAGAACTTTATAATCGATGGCATAGTTTTCGAGATATTAAGCTGTTAAGAATTATATGGGCCACCCTGTATATACATATATGTATATATCATAAACAGACATTAAAAATGTGTAAATTATTGTAGCAAACAATAGGTACCTCCGCCCCCCCCCCTTAAAGGAGAAGGGGGGGGGCAGTTCACATTTATGTAGTTAGAAAGGCCCTTCAGATTCATTCAAGTTAAGACCAAGAACTTTATAATCGATGGCATAGTTTTCGAGATATTAAGCTGTTAAGAATTATATGGGGCACCCTGTATATACATATATGTATATATCATAAACAGACATTAAAAATGTGTAAATTATTGTAGCAAACAATAGGTACCTCCGCCCCCCCCCCTTAAAGGAGAAGGGGGGGGGCAGTTCACATTTATGTAGTTAGAAAGGCCCTTCAGATTCATTCAAGTTAAGACCAAGAACTTTATAATCGATGGCATAGTTTTCGAGATATTAAGCTGTTAAGAGTTATGTGCGCCAGCCTGTATAATAGCAGATCATACGGTACCCGTTTACAGGATGTGTTCAGAACCGAAAAGTACCAGACACCAGTGAGTTCGTACTTCAGGTGAGATGTCTCAGAAACAAACACGGGAGACATAATCGGAATGCTTTGTTGTTGACCCCGCTCTCTTGTCAGAGTGACCACAAAACGATGTCAAGCGGTCAAAAGGTAAACGTGGATGGAATAAAAAGTCCTCCGGATAGTTCGTTCGATCAGCGGGCTTAGTCTCGAGCATATAAGACCGGATTGACAGCCTTTTACTCCTATTTTGGCTCGAGCCGCACGAAGAAGACTCGATGACCCAGAACTTGGGAAAGCGAGTCGTTCGAAAGAACGCGGCTGTTGTATCATGCGGGGCCCGCTACTCTCGTGGATGATCTTGCGTTCTTTCGCTCTAATTGCTCGTGACGCCTTTGAGGCCTGCAGAAACTTTCATCTCAGCCGAAGGTTGATGCCTCGAACGGTTAGGTGCCGGCAAACGGTCACGATTTTCTGTTTTCCATCGGAGCAAAACGATCAAGCGACGCAGGCGAAATCATTGACAGAATCAAATTGGTATACGCGCTCGTGATCGACAAGGGTCGAAGGAAGGTAATAGTAACTGAATCTGCGTATCGGTCGGCGTGATGATCATGAAACCTGTATGATTGCGCTTTATCCTACGCGAACGGATAGCGATCTAGGGGGAACTGGGGTGAAATCGAGACCCTAGCAATCAAATTTTATAAAATCTCATAATCATTGGTATTACTACGTTAAAAAAGAAACTGAAACTGTGGTCTGTTTAAAGAACTA